TATGCAAGTGATTTTTTTTATATTGAAATGTTGATAGCTTAAAATGAAATAAACGAAATTGCCAATTTGTTTAAAATACATGCATAAACAATCTAACTACAACAGTTTATTTATTTTCCATAATAATACCTTAGGAACTTTTTAATTAATATCTCCAACCGTTGTTGGTCATTTAACAGCGCTTCAATATACAACAATATTTCTTTTTTAAGCTTTAAAAATCTGGAAAGAAATTATGAAATTTTGTATTATTAGGGTCAAAAATGCATAAAACCCAGTTCTCATGGTCCGATTATGCTGGTTTGAGAACCCATCCGAATAAATGTAGGTTTACATGTTTGTACCAAATCAAAATCGCCCAAAATCGGACCATTCTTGCTCGAGTTATCGTGCTAATGGACATATAGATATATAATATACTAGCAGAGTACCCGTCCTTCGTACGGGGTTGGTATATAAGTATAAAATGCTTATTGCAGTTATACTAGATCTTTGCGTTTGCAATGTGAGAAGACACGGTTTGAGAAAATTAGCTTCCTAAAATTTACGGTATGCTATAGAATTACAAAAGTATTCTGTATTACACATCTACCATAGCCATTATGTTCTACCACTTCACCTACACAATAGAGAAAAATAGATTATTAATAATTCGCAAAATATCACAAATTATTCATGAAATAAAAAAAAAAACAAACTGTAAACAATCCTACTTTGACAGTTCTCATTGAGTATTACAGTTTTTTGTTGCTGCTTAGTTCAAATTAGCTATGTTTATAAATGAAAAAAAATTAATAGTGCTGCACCCTGTTGGTAAATCTTATAACTTTTTAATACTTTTGCATATTATAGAACCAACTCTTTTAGTTGAAACAGCTGGCTATGTTTCTTTAATTTCCTTTAAATATGAATACTCATAAGGTTAACATGGGAAACTGCAGAGCCATTGGGGCGGAGCCCGAAAGGATTTTTGAAATAAGAATATGCCTATATGTTAATCGGGAATGTGAGCTATAATCATGCCAAATTTCAGCCCAATCCGACCAGTATTTTTCGCGTTTACTTGTAACAAACATACATACCGGTACATCCAAACCTTCTCATTTATAATATTAGGATGAATTCAAACAGATTGAGTTTTTGGCCTCTGGGGACCTCAAAACAAAAAAGTAAATTGATCCTGGTCTAAAAAAAAAAAAATGCTCCAGGTAAAATGAAAAACTTGGGGTGCATGCAATAGTCAATAAAGGTTCAATAGTGAAGATAATTGATTAGAAGATGATTTGATTAGAAGATAACTTATAATAAATTAGCATGCGCCCCACGTTTTTGTTTTAAATCTAACAAGTGTTTATTCTTTCCACATAGGCTATTTCTAAATTATTTTTTACTTTTTAGTGCATTTAAAATTGTGTTTTTTTTAAAGAATTTTTATTTATAAATTATTTTTGCCTATTTGAATTTATAAAGGGATTCTGCACATCTACAGGAAAACACATTTTTAACAGTATGCATAGATTTTCCTGTAGAAAATGATTTTATATATTATAATATTTAAAGACCTCACGTGTTTACATGTTTGTTTACCTCTAAAATTAGGGATTCTGACAAGGACAAAAAAGTAAATGGAACAAAATGTTACAAAGAAATATAATCTGTCATCAATACACGGTAATTTTGAATCTACAATGAGACAGATCAGTAGATTAAAGTTGAATACAATACAGTATGTACAATATTATACACTGACCTTAAACCTTAACTGGTTGATGGTGTCTTCTGAATTGTGACAAAAAACCTTGAAACTTACATAAAACTTTCAATGTACAATAAATATGTAATATCTAACTATAATACATCATCTTTAACAAGGAATGCATATATTGATCTAACATTGACGTAAAATAAGATGCATTAGCAACTAATTATGAATAACATTTAAAATAAATGTACAATAGGTGAAGTAAAATGAAATGCGATGTAATTGGGTAATAGTGTTTTTTTGATTAAAACAGAAAATGTAAAAAAAATTGTTCTAAAAACACATTTTTGGATTGAGAAGAGAACTAAAATGTTTTATTTTCTTTAAAAAATGTATAGAAAAATAATCTTATATGGTTAGGCCTGCTTGAGTTTAATCAATATTTAAACTTGATATGAGATTCTCTAAAATATGAAATAGTGTAATCTGTATTTTAGCTACGTACAAATATTGATTTAAATGATCGGTAATAGTATTAATACACATTTATGACATTATTTTAACAGCTCCTGTCCCAAACTATGGCATTCTCTTAGTCTTATGGTTATAACTAAGATATATGAGCAAACATATACATATGGTACAACACGGCGAAACATAATTTTATTCTTAGTATAAAATACAATGTATGTATATAGCTGAAATCAAAACAGGTATCTTTTGACACCTTTAGTAAATAAATATTTCACTGATCAATAGGGGTGTGCGATGCAGCATATTTTTTTCGATTCGATGCATCGATGCGATTCAAAGAACTTTCGATTCGAATCGATGCGATTCGATTCGATGCAGCACGGCATAATTTTCTTCAAAAATTAAATACAACATGTGTTTCTGTAATGGATCCTTTACCTTAAAAAAGTTAAAGTAAAAAAATGACTAAATAAAATTATGAACAAGAGGATAGTTGCTGACCTAACCTCATTAATGGACACTGCTAATTTTATGGTTTGCCTAAGGAAATTCACCCTTCACTAACAATTAGAATAAGCCTATATCAATAAAGCAATCGTTAAGTTTATTATTATTGACCTGTATTAAATAAAATAGAGTTTATTTTATGATGTACAGGTAGTATTGTTACTTAGTTTTCACATTTATATTTGTTGGCTTTCAATACTTTTGGTTCATTCTTAAATCAGCATGAACCAAAAAAGTTGATAATCAGTATTTACTACTACAATCGGATCTTAGGCTGGATCCGGTTTTAATGGATCCGATTTTATTTATACTAGGGATGGACGAGATTGGATTTTTAGTTCGAGACGAGACGAGATTTTTTATTTCTCATAAAATTTCGAGACGAGATCGAGACAGGATTTCCCTTCTCATACACAACGGGAAATGCACGTTCAAAAATTTTACCTGATTTTGTAACATTGTTAGATGACTGTTTAAATAAAAAAATAATGATAATAGGCAAGAATATTTACAATCTTTTATTAAAAAACATCAGAATAACATTTTTTTTATTAATCACGCCTAAGTTATTAAAAATGCCTACGATTAGGAAACATAGTGATATCAGTTAGGATAGAGTTAAACTTATCCTAAAATAAAATAAATCATAAAATAAAAGCGATATTAATTTTTATAAAATAGTTGGTACTTGTTTTGACTTTTTATAGTAATAAAACATTCCTCACGCTGCTTACACAACAAAACTTCTCAAATGTTATTAGAGTAATATTATTAAAATAATTAAAGCAATATTTACATTTAAAGAATTAATTCAATAAGAACGCCTTCGCAAAGGAAACGCAACTACAACACGCTCCTGTATTGCGGGTATTGCATTGACTTTCTGCAGGCGTTTTTAATTTTTTTATATTTTTTTTATTCTCGTCTTGATAAAAATCTCGGCCAAAAAGAAATCTCATCTCGTGTAACGAGATTTAAAATTTCCCGAAATTTCGAGACTTGACCATCCCTAATTTATACAATTAACACTAAATGGGCGAGTATTCGAGATTTTGAGTTCGAGTAGAGTACGGCCTTGAAACTCGAGCTTATATTTGAACTCGCTAGTTTGGTATAAAATTGTAAGATCAATATTTGTTGAAATGTAACTTGTGTTAGAATAAAATGATGGATAATTTGTATTACTGTAGATTCTACAGTCATACAAACAAATATAGAAATAAGCAAGAGGTAGTTGTCTTGTCCTAACCTACTTTTATAGCTGTCACGACAGAATAGGTCAACTCAAAGCAGTCGCCGGCGACTGACTGGCAATGTTATACTGACTTGACACAGAATAGAATGACATGATCGGTAGTGATTTTGTTTTAGAGTAGGCCTAGTGTTTCACAATATAAAATTTCACTACTGAACTGTTACGTAAGCAATAAATTTATGTTTATAAAAGTCAGAATAGAAACACTATAAAGGCAAACCAATAGAAGGGAGGCAGGCGTTGTGCAATGACCTCGAAATGAGCCGAATAGTAACATTGAGTAGGGGGTTACAAGGGGGGGAAGGGAAGGGTGAGACCTTTGAGCTATATTTAGACTAGACTTTCACCACTTCCCAAATGGCTGGGTATGGGGATTACAATAGCAGGTTTTTTCCTTGCCTGGTTTGACTTTTGTCTTTTTGTGTAGGAGATTTGAATAATCAAAAATATAATTTGAATTGACCACAATTATTTAGCATTGATAATACAATTTGCAAGGGACCAGGAGGAAATAGAACAAAACACTAAAATTAATAGAATAACACACAAAGTAAACAAGAAATTAAATACAGAACATGGTGATTTAACACTGTCACTGTCACTAAATTTTGTTGTCTAGAAGGGTCGGTGAACTAATCAATAAATAGCCAAAACCAGTTTCCTCCCCCTCTTCTCTCTCAGTCTCACCACCACCCCTCCCCCCCTGAGCCGGGAGGCCCAGCACTTTGTCCTTGAAACACCCTAGCCTCTGAAACAATAAACCCTTACACCTGCGTTGCTGTTTTGACAACAGGTTTATGAATGTGTTCACTATTTTTCATTTTCCAGAATTAACTATCAATTATTATTATTTGCAAGTTACAAATAGGAAACTACATGACATTATGGTATTCAATTACCCATGTATTATCAAAAATGTATAATTCATTACTTATTTTGATAATAAAAAGCATTCATTACAGCACGCAGCACTTATTGATATATATATATTATATATATATATATATATATATATAATCATCAAAGTATCTGTTACTTTATACAAAATAAAATAGGTACAAAATTGTGTGGCCAGTCAAACTTTATAAACAAACATTTTATTCTATAAAATACAGATGGTAAATAGGGGTTGGTTTAAAGGAAATAAAATACAAAACAGATTAATTAATTATTTTGATAAACGATAGAAAGGTTATGGGATTGATTGAACTAAAATAACCACAGGGAATCTTAATTAGAAAAGTCGTCAACCACAATCTGTTCAGTACATCGCTAGAGAGAGAGAGGGGGGGGAGAGAGAGATAGCAGATAAGGGCGTTTGATAGGGAATATGAAAAAGTAAACAAACAAGGAACAACGACGCGACAATACTCGTTTATAGCCTTATTGTCTCGACCCCTACATTTGCACACGTGACCACTTTTTGTTCCTTCCTTATCTTTCATCCGTCCCAAAATGGAATTCCTGAAATAGTTTGTTGGTATAATCTTCCCTCACACACAAGGCGCAGAGCTCAGTGCGCACTGTAGGTTGCCACGGCAACCGTGTGTCGTCATTAGCGACTTAGCCAATCACGCACGCGCACTGCGTTGTAGATTACGATACAAATAACCCTCTGACTTCGATGTTGTAATTGAATCGAATTTTTCTAACGATGCGTAATGCAGGGATGAAACTGAACATCTAGACAAGTTTAGGTTATTTATTTTGTTCTAAAAATAAAAATAATACATTTAAAGGTCTGACTTATTGATACAGACATTTTTAGTATAATTTCGTGTTGAGGACACTCGCACGCCGGTTGTCTGAGACTGAATTCTGACCGTCTGACATCTTGAAATGTAGATTGTATTGTGTTGTGCAATATCATCTGCCTGCAGAGAGAACAGCTGAAAATAACCTTTAGCTGTTTTGAACTAAATAGTGTACTAAGTTGGTTACTAAAGTTGTTAGCGTGATTACTAAACCAATAGATATCAAATAAATAAATGTTAAATAAAATATCTATCCATCCCTGTCGGCTGTCGGTATCGGCGGAATCGGGCGAAATCGATGTTTGGCAATCGATTCTTGATACCGATATTCCTAGTATCGGCAATGTCCGAGTATCGGTGGTAGCGATAATTGACACTTCCCTATCTAAAACTCATTTTAGAGTCCTAAATTAGTTTTAAATATGCATCGGGACGTAATCGTTGCATCGGTAGTTAACCGCTGCATCGGTCTTTTTCGATGCATCGAGGCCAAATCGATGCATCGTGATTTCGATGCATGCTGAATCGAATCGCGATTCGATGCATCGAATCGAATCGAATCGAAATTTCGATGCATTTTCGATGCATCGCACACCCCTACTGATCAACATGTTTAGAACATCAACTTGAATATACACATAATATTTCTCAAATCTAAAATACAATAAAATAATTTAACAGACTATTATTGTAATATACTCTTATAAACAAGGCTTTTTCGACAGTGAGTTATACCTTAACAACAAAATATTACAGTGATATCAATATTAACAATACACTTACACTACGACCCCCCGCATGTGTGTGCGTTACACTGAGTCCGCCTTCATCACAGTCAGTTGCTCTTGTCTCTCACAATCTATATGACCAGCCTGCGACATCATACGCTAAATTTAAATACATGTTTTCCTTAATTAAGATTTTGGTATTGTTATAATAAGTCTTTACCACCCGAAGTTGGTTAATCGACTTTCCGTGTCATATGCCTGTACATCATAGCATACAGGCTCAATAAGCCGTGGTTGAGGTTTGTGTGGGGGGACTCTAGTCCCCCAGCCACCCTCACAGCATACAGGCAAGATACTTGGAAGATATTTTCTACCTAAATTTGACTGAATTTTCTGATTGGTTTAATGTATGGAAATTATTTCTTAGTTACAATGCCACTGGTCACTTAATAGAGAAGTATTGCTTCATATTGTTGTATTTTACAGTTTATATTTTGTATAGTTTATAGGTCTATTTTACAACTGTATAGTAAAATTTAATTTTATAAAAATTCAAATTAGAGTAACTATAAAATTAATTTAGAACCTGTTAACAGTTTAAAAAGGTATAATTTCTTTTAAACTGCATTTTAAAGGATAAATATTTTAAAATGGAAAACAAAAATTATCATTCAGGTTTAAAGCTTCACCAATTTCACAACTTAATCAATTATTGATACCAGATACTTTGTTCAAGGAAAGAACCGGTTTGAAAGGTGTAAACTTGAACACTTGTGTAAAACAAAAATCAGGACTTAATGCTTTGTCCTTACATTAGACACATACAGGCAGACTCTCAGGGGTTCCTGACTAGAGGGGGGCGGCGCGGGCAGCTGGGGGCTATTCCTCTTGCGAGGGCGGAGGAGTCTCATCTTCCCTCTTCATGTCTTCCACTGGCGCAGACGATGGTGGGTGCTGCACGATGGGCTCCGAGGCGCGAGGTCCACCCTCCCCCGACACCAGGTGTGAAGGGACGTGGGGCGACGGGCCATGCCCCGCTTTGTACGCCTTCTCACCTTTCCGCCACAGGGTTATTTCCTGCATTAGAAGGAAAATTGGTTAACTTGTGTACATTATTACATTTCATATCTAGTGACCAAGTGGAGTAAACGTAACCTATGACATCACATCAGTCAACAAATATATTTCTATGGAAACAATTTACATCTATCTATCCATCTATATATTAATAGGCAAGCATGTTTCTTTAAAACCTTTTTTCTAGGCTCGTGTGGATCGCAGAGAAAATCTATGTATATTGTTGGAAATATATTTGCCTGTAGATGTGCAGAATCCCTTTATAAATTAAAAATAGGCTCAAAAATAAGCACAAAAAAAAGAGTTTAAAAATTTGAAAAAATTAACATGGATCTTATGGGTTGCCATTGTTGCCATGCTGGTGACGAAATAACAATGAAATATAAACAGAAAATCAAAACAAATGGAAGAAACTCCAATCACATGTTTTATTTACAGTGTGGGGGGTGAAAATAGAGAAGTCCGTACATTACATATTTTTGGTTGAGTTTCGACCACTGGACGACCTCTAGTACTTATTTAATCTGAAATTAATCTTCAAGAAGAACTGGTGATATTAGAATGAATATAAATTTGAAATCACCAATATTTTTAGAATTTTTAATTTTATGAGGCCTTTTGCCAGCTATGCTGGTATCATCAGACACATCACAAAACTGAAGGATATGTTTTTTATGTGATGTGTCTTCAGTTTTGTGATGTGTCTGATGATGCCAAGACTTTGAAAAGATGGAAGTTTATAGAACCATGATGTATGCTTCATTGACACAATGAGATGTTTCTCAGAGCAAGCTGGCAAAAGGCCTCATAAAATTAAAAATTCTAAAAATATTGGTGACGTTTTTATTTCAAATTTATAAATGAAATAAAATTTAGATGCAGTTGTTTACATACAAAATGGATGCTGCTAAAATTTTGCAGTAAAACCTTGTGTAACATCATGTGATCGGAGAGAGTTCTGATGAGTGTTATCAAATAGATAATTTCTGATGAATACTGACAGAGTTTGTCCATTGGTTGATCCCCATCGCTCCAATCAGTAATCTTGCAGAGGACAACTACTAAGCAACCAAATCAAGACTTTGAAAAGATGGAAGTTCGTAGTACCATGATGTACACTTCATTGACACAATATGTTTCTCAGAGCAAGCATTATTGAGAAAATTTAAAATTCCAAAGGAGTTGTTATTGCAAAATATGTGGGGAATCAGAAGAAGAAAAGTGCTCAGGAGAAAATGGTCACATACAGTCCAACCTCAGTATAACGAATCTGAAGGGACCGAACTGAATATTCGTTATATCAAGGATTTCCTTAAAACGAGGTTTGTTATATAGAGGTTATGTTTGCAGGAATTTCGCTAAGTCGAGGTTCAGAACCAGCGTCGGTCAATATAGGTCGGGATTAGACATCATTAAAACACAATTAAAGTAGCATAGGCTACAATGTACTTTACAGTACAGTGTTTACATTGTACAGTAGAACCTAAATTATCCGGCATAAAAAAGGGGAGGGATCTTGAATATTGCGCAATCATGAAAATGGCATTGATCTTGGTACAGGTTAAAAACTGTAAGTTTAAAATCACAGCTTGTTCTAACCCTCCTAAAACCTAGTCAAACACTGTATTGCGTAGTCATAAACCATGTAAAGAACAAAACAAAACACTAGTAGAAAGTTTTGTAAGCTACTGCTCGTAATAGGCCGGTAGGCTACTTACAGTACAGTACTGATTTATCATAACAGAGGAATGTCAATAATAATCATTAACTATAGCATTGGTGTTGCTAGTTGAAACAAATCGTATTGAAAACAATAAATTATTAGATAAGTTATTATAAAAGTGTACTGTATAATCATAGCCAACTTAAAGATACAGTAATAAAAACACTCGAAAAAGGAATGTTAAAATAACGATGTTGCTATTCTTTCTCTTTGGTTTTGTTTTTATATTCTTTCTTAGGTTTCTCTTTATCCAAAAATTGTACAATTCACCATAGTAACTTATCGCCCAATCACAGCTTACTAAACATTACGTCGTCATCAGTCCTCAGTGAATGAAATCAGTTCTCAGTTGCAACATAGCGCGCGCAGCGACAGCAGACAGATATGTGTAAAACGGAGCAGACGAATGTTAGCGCAAGCGATGACGTCACCTTTCCATTTCATCTGATAAAGAAACAGATTTTACAAAAACAATAATGGGGTGGGGGATTTGTTATATCGAGGGAAAGACGTAGACAATTCATTATGCAGAGGTTAAATTCGCAATGTAGAGGTTCTGACAATGATAAATTCGCTATATTAAGGTGTCTTATTTTAGCCGAAATCACGAAAAATTTGTTAAATCAAGGTCGTTGTTATGGTTTGTTCGTTATGTAGAGGTAAAATATACATTATGTCTTATGGAGAGTTCTAGGGGATTAAAAAAAAAATCGTTATATCAAGGAATTCGTTGTATCGAGGTTCGTTATATCAAGGTTAGACTGTACCATGGAGAAGGTGATGGATTATCTGAGAACTTCAAGTGGAAGAAACTGAAGACATTAACAACTGAATTCATCTAACTGGGGAAAACTTTTTGGGCAAGGAAAAACAGCAACTTTTGGGAATGTGGAGGAAGAAGATTGATTTGAGACAGAATTATTAATATGTAGCCTATTTGATTGTATCATAATCTAACAAGTTGTCATTGATCAACACTGTTAACACTGCACCTGTTGTTTGAAGTAACGACGGTCCTCTTCATCCATTAGCACCAGGTTGAGGAAGTATTTGACTGAGAACTTCTTGTTGATGTCCCTCATGGTGGGGGTGAGGTCGTAGCCAGCTAGGAACACTCGGATAGGGATGCTCTCCCCTCGAACTGGCGCACCGTCCATGATCTCGTACTTGGCGATGGTCTCGTTTTCTGTGAAGGTGTGTGGCCCTGCGATTGGAATGAATCAGTTTTTGGCCATCCCAAAAATAATACACCTCGTGAGTCTAAAGTGACCTTTTTGACATAAGCTTAAGTTAAGTGACCATAACAAAGTCAGGGTCACAAATCAATAAGACATTTGACCTGTAGCCTATAATGATAAAAACAAAACCATGTTGGCCTTGGATGAATCGCAGTATGCAGCTGGTGTTTTCTGTGATTTGTCTAAGGAATTTGACTGTGTCAATCATGAACTTCTAATTCACAAACTTAGTAAAATTGGAATAACAGGTAACATTCTTAAATGGTTTAGATCATATTTGGCAAACCGTAAACAAAGAACTCTCATCATAAAAAAGGGAATAAAGTACTATTCAGACTGGATAAATATAGAACGTGGAATTCCTAAAGGCTCAATTCTGGGGCCTTTATTATTCATCATCTATATCAATGACTTGCCCCAAAAAATTCTTTCAGAATTAATACTTTTTGCAGATGATACCACTGCTTTTGTGAAAGGCAACTCAATGTCGGAAGTGCAAATTTCAGTTAACAAAACTTTGGAAGATCTCCGTGAATGGTTTACAGCTAATGGCCTGGCACTAAACAGTGATAAAACAAACGTCTTATTTTTTCAAAAGTCAAACATGACAGATATTTCACAACAAAAATTTCTCGGAGTGATCATTGACCAAAAACTAAATTGGAAGGAACATATTGATTATTTGTTAAAAAAATTAAGATCATTCTTTTTTGCTTTTTCAGTTCTTTCTCAGTGTGCATCAAAAAATGTTATCAGAATAGTTTATTTTTCCCATGTAGAGTCGATTTTGAGGTACCGTATGGCATTACCTTATGGGGAAATTCAAAAAATAGTAAAAAGATATTTTCAATGCAAAAAAGATTCATTAGAAATATGGCAAACGCTAAATTTAGGGCTTCCTGTAAAAAACATTTCAAAAATCAGTCCATATTAACTTTCCCCAGCCTGTTCATTTATGAAAGCCTTAATTATGTCCATGAAAATAAAAAAGATTTTGAAAAGTTCTTAATAAAAAATAAATACAACACTAGGAACAAGAACCTTTACAGTTATCCAATCCATCGGACAACAAAATTTGAAAAATGTCTTTTTTACACAGGCCTGAAGCTGTACAACCATTTGCCGAATAAATTTAAACAATTGGCAGTAAATGTTTTTAAAGTTAAAATTAAAGAAATTCTACTGGATAAGGTTTATTATTCCATCTCAGACTTTTTAGCAGACACCTCCTTGGGATAGTCATTGTACATTTTTATTGTTATTGTAATCTTCTATGTTTTATGTAAAATGTTTTTTCCATTGTATTTTATTATTAAGATTTATGTAATTGACAAGACACCAGTTACTGCTATAAGCACCCAATGTAACGTTATTTGTGTCAATAAATTGATTTGATTTTGATTTGATGAACAATTTTTTTTCATAGTGCACTATTCTTCAAGATAACTAATTTACAGAACATAAATTGTGTACATTGTTTATCTTTATAAATTAGCTACCAAAATGGGTTTCTTTGGGGTTTACTATTATACTTAGCCTAAACAGCAGTTACTATTAATTACTTGGATTTAACATTGTGTTACTTGCCAAAATAATAATAATAACTTTACATTTAAGTTACTGACATCTTTTAGCAAATTTCCCATATAGGGAATAAGCTATTTCTGTTTCTATCTGTCTAAATTTCATCCGAATCAGCATACATATGTTAAGTATTTTTATAATAAAAGGTTTAAATTACCTGTGATCCTGGTTTGTAGTTGGTTGACTACAGCTGTTTCATGTTTAATATTAACACATCTTCAGGTCAAATTTGTCAATGCATTGATTTATTCCATAGAATGGTCGTCATAAGGTTTAAAGTTCACAAAAAAATAACACATACACGTACACGAAACATTTAACAGTGATTGGCCAAAACACAAAACGAAAAAGCGCGTAATTAACATCGGACACGTACGGCGCCGGTAGAAGGTAGGTCATGACTGCCTAGGGGTACGTGTCCGATGTTAATTACGCGCTTTTTTGTTTTGTGTTTTGGCCAATCAGCGTTAAATGTTTTGTGTACGTGTATGTGTTATTTTTTTGTGAACTTTTTTTTTGGTAATTTTTTTGTAAACCTTATGACGACCATTCTATGGAATAAATCAATGCATTGACGAATTTGACCTAAAGATGTGTTAATATTAACATGAAACCGCTGTAGTCAACCAACTACAAACCAGGATCACTTGACGGATACAGGTAATTTTAACCTTTTATCGTAAAAATCAGTGATCCAGAGGCTATACCATAAAAAAGTATTTTTATATCCATTAGGTACTTATAATTTTACTTCTTTTGAAATTTTCAATTTCATTTTGTTTGGACGTTTGGCTCAGTGAGTAAACTATTTCAGAGTTCAATTTAGCTCAACCATCTGAGGGTACCAGAGTGGTTATAAGGCTCGCCTAAAAGCCATAAAATGTTTTGATCCATAAATCAGAATAGAATACTTTTTAGTGTTATTAAATGAAAACCAGAAACGTTAAATTTGCTGATACAAATACCTATTCTAAGTTTTATATGCCAAGCATCATCATCAACTTTTTTAGGTCTACCTCCTGGTTCGCCTTAAAATATACAGCTTGAAAATATGTTAAGTACTGGATAGTTATAATTTATACCTGACCCTGTAGTTTCTCTCTTAATTATGGCGATTTCCATGTGCTTGATCTTGATTCGAACCAGTAGGAAATAAATTTTACCTACTATAACATCTTTCAAGTGATATCTGAAACAAAGGACACAACGTGTTGTTAGAGAATTTATAAAAGGAATAAACATTTTGGGAAAACAGGAAAAGTTTTTCAGTGAACCTCCTGAAGAATATAAACTATAATCAAGCATTAGAAACATTTTGATGACAGCCTTGTTGATTACCTACTTGGGTGGTATTAGCTAGCATATAAAACATACTACCAGATATTAATATAAATTTATTATTGTTCAACGTTAACTCAGTATTTTTATTTAAATCCAATTTTCATACAAACTATATATTGATCAGGTTGGCATGGGTTTTAATAAAATTACGAGTTTTAGCTGAGTTAGTCTTTGATGACGAAGGATGCTTCTAATAATATAAAGTAAAATGGATTTTACTTGGTTTTCTTACTTGCACTTGTTGTACTCGAATTCAATGTGTAAACAGTCTTCAATTCCTACTTCCATTTTGATGCTGTTGTTCATATCGGGATACGATGACAGAGTATGAACAACCAAATCCAGTTCTTTTACAATATCGGAAATCCGTCTTACAACTGTCACCCTCAACAAGTATCTGTAAATTAATTGAAACATTAACTCTTTATACTGTCCTAGAAGACTACACATGTAGTTGCACAAAGCATTCAACTGTGAACTGTTACATCAAACATCAAATTAACGAAAAGCAACATTCCACATCAATGTATTAGGCTAAACCTTTCATTTTACTACAGTTCACTGGAAAACTGAAAAAAATAAATTAGATTTAGGTAACCCACAAGGGTAAAACTTTTTGAGAACGTATAACCTTCAAACTCAAAAACATGTTCAGTAGACTGATTAGTAATACCAAATTTTACTAATGGATATATTCTTAAAAATTCATTTTATAAAAAGTATCTCAAAAAATTTGTAGGTAAAGGATAATCTGGAGCTTATGTTCATTGTTAACCAAATTTATGCCTCACTTAAATGTCCTGTGTGGCCGTATCAATAATATAATTAACACGCAAGGTTTGTTAAAACAAACTGTAATATTTTACGATTATCGGTTAATGTGAGTTCGGTTAAGAGGGTGTCTACTGTAACACTTTGAATCTACTATGTGTTAATGAGGTCTATAAATAAACTGCTTCAGTCACAAGAGGTATCTAGCCTTAATTATAAATAACTAAACAATTGAATGGTTACCTACCTTAATCGGACATTGGAACCTGTGTAAGACTCAAACGGTTTTTCTACATTCAGAAACTCAAAGTTATATGTAGTGTTTTGGGGGAGGTATCTAGCCTTAATTATAAATAACTAAACAATTGAATGGTTACCTACCTTAATCGGACATTGGAACCTGTGTAAGACTCAAACGGTTTTTCTACATTCAGAAACTCAAAGTTATATGTAGTGTTTTGGAAAAGCTCTCCTGGCCGGGCAAGCTCTTTAACCAACGACGTAAACTCATGGTGGTTGCCTCTGTCGTAGTAGAGCTCTATTTGTCCGATAAATTCAATTTTGATTCCTTGATGTTCCAATTTGCTTCCTGGCTTCTTTAGAGAGATATTCACCTGCAATATAAAGATGGCATGGTATTCAATCCATGCATTCATATTTTAAAAAGTAGGCTGGCGCCTACTTTAGTTTAATATAGGACAGTAAAATAATGTTTGCCCATTGTCACCCTTTTGTTCCTAGATCTGTTCCTTTCGGACTATAATTGGTTTATTTAACACATTCACTGCGGCTGCAAGATGGCCAGCTGCTGCCGGGAGAGTGGACAGCTATAAGCTGCGTGTATGAGTGTACAACAATTTTGAAATTTAGTTTCATTCAATAGGAGAGACATATTATAGCATGTACTGTGTCCCAGTTGTTGTAGACGTAATTTTACAAAAACCTAATAGATAGCAGCACAAAAGAAAACTCCTAGCCGGTCCTCAGTTCCCTGTCAAATGGAAGGAAAAAGCAAGGGCAAAGTACCCGGAAACACCATCAAAACATACCGCAAAAAGGGATAAAGCACAATTTTAAGGTTAGGTTCCTTCCACAATGCGACAGTACATTCAGTATCGTTATTCTATTTCATGTCATGAAATGTCTTTATGACAATGTCAGCAAACTTGAATATGAATATTGGCGGTAACCTTGACTAACGCAAAACTAAAAACCCACTACCCTAACATGTACGCTAAGGCACAATATGAGTTTCCTTCTCTCTCAATAGATAGACGAAATATAATTGAATTACAGTGTCCATGACAAATGTCTCCAATCGGAGGCATGCACACGTGGGCAGGGATGCTGATGTCTCCAACCGGAGACAGGCCGCAGTGAATGTGTTAAGCGCAACTGTATGACTCACATATGTGTGTCACACCACTTTAGGTATTTAATACTTAAATTTTATAAGGGGTTGGCAGTCGCTTTTAACCTTGCATTTGCCCATCTACATGGGCCTCAAACTGAAACCTACCAAGCAAATCAAGGGGTGGGCCATTTCAGTACAAGATTAAACTTGACTGATATACAGTAAGTAGTTCCTCGATAATTTGGCCCTCAATAATCCAGGAAAACTAAATTTACCTTTCCAGATACACTCTCGCCATCATAATACAGCAAGTGCCTTTCCTTCTTTCCATCTTCAGTCTTGATATCAGCCTGTTTTCTTGTGTCTGCACCATCTAGCACAATGTTGATCTCAGCACTCTGGCCAAACCCAAAGAAACTCTGCAAACACAACACAATTTAGGATAAAAAATATAAATTAATTAATAACTTTGTTGTCAATAAATAACTAAGTTACTTAGAAAATCTAAGATTGAAAATCAATAAAAACATTTAAAAGAGTAAAACTAAGTTACCTACCTATGGCCAACTTGTTTGTAACGACTGACCATACTGCCACTGTTTTGAAAAACCCTTCAGCTAAAGTAAGTCTTACTCTCACAATTATCTGAGGAGCTTTTGGGTTATATAAGTTAGGCCTAAGTATTTCTTTTTTATTTTGGACCAGAAAACAATATATAAATAACGTTATTAGGCCTAAAAAATATTTCTGTTTGTTAAAAGTAGGCCTTAAGCAATTAAGGAGTTATTTGATAAAACTAGTAACTTACTTGTACATTATTATACATAAAATTAATAGGTCTGCTGTACATTGCAAGTTTTTTTTTAGTGAATTTCTCATTTAGGGAATAGGCTAAGTTGTTACCACAGGTCTCATAGTAAGATATGGACCCGGAACCGATTTACTTTTTGAAGTACTTACAAGGCTTACAAGAAGAGGCCAAAAACAAAATCTGTTTGAATAATTCATATAGGCCTATTTATACTACTATATATCTAATATATAAAATTCTCGTGTCACAGTGTTTGTCTGCAAACTCCTCCGGAACGACTTCACCGATCGTTATGAAATTTTGTGTGTAAATTCTGTAGGTATGCGAATCGGACGTAAACTATTTCCCGTTTCGAAATTCTTAAAAGGGCTCCGCCCCAGTGGCTCTGGAGTTTCCCATGTTAACCTTATGAGAAATGGAATCAATGAATCTTAACAGCTGTTTCAATTAAACAAGTTGGTTCTGTTCTATGATGTTCAATAGCATTAAAGTTACAAGGATTACCAACAGGGTGCAGCACTATTACTTCTTTTACATTTATGACAACAGCTAATTTGCAACCAAAAGGTGAGTGAGCGTAGCGAACGAACTTCAACCTGGAGGCGAGTTAGCGTAGCGAACGAGCTAACCTGAAGGCAAGTGAGCGCAGCGAACGAGCTCCAACCTAAAGGTGAGTGAGCGTAGCGAACGAGCTCCAACCCAAAGGTGAGTGAGCGTAGCGAACGAACTTCAACCTGGAGGCGAGTTAGCGTAGCGAACGAGCTAACCTGAAGGCAAGTGAGCGCAGCGAACGAGCTCCAACCTAAAGGTGAGTGAGCGTAGCGAACGAGCTCCAACCCAAAGGTGAGTGAGCGTAGCGAACGAACTTCAACCAGGACGTGATTGAGCGATGCGAACGAGATCATCTTGAAAATTAAACGTAACGGTACTTTCTTTCCATCGGTCTGTCTTAGGGGAAACCTATAACTTAGGCGATACGAAGTTCGACGGGTCAGCTAGTATATATATATATATATGTGTGTTTGTTAGCACGATAACTCAAGCAAAAATCATCTGATTTTGATGAAACTTGGTATAACCGTTTTTAAGAAAAATAAACCTAGTATATTTATTCAAACGAGTTTGCAAACCAGCATGATCGGACCATGGGAATGGAAATACTTCTTTTATACATTTTATGAATTTTAACAAAACAAACAATAACCAAAACTTATGGATATGATAAAAAGGTACCACCGCATGGGGTTTGAAATTGTACAGTTTCTTCCAATTTTAAGTTGGTCGTAAAAATTTAGATTAGGATATAACTAAAATAAGTTAAGGATAAAAAAGACAGCTTTAAGTTAAGTATTAATCTTTTCGGTACTTAACTGTTAAAGGGAACATTCATTATTAGGCTAGGAATATACTAGGACGCTGGCGTCCGGGAGGCCGGGACGCTAGCGGGGCATTAAATCAAATGGGGGCGATTATACTAGGGATGCCAGCGTCGGATGCTAAAAAAGCCACCGGACGCTCGATTTTGTGCCTCCCAGCTGGTAGGCTGAAATTCGAACGTCCAGTGACTTTTAGCCCCCCCCCCCCCCCCCGGGGGTGCACAAAACCGGTTGTGGAGCATTGGTTAAAATGTGGCGCATTATACTAGGCGGCTACGCTATTACTATAGGTCTCATGGTAAGACCTGGACCCGGGACCAATTTACTTTTTTGATTTGATGTCCCCAGTGGCCAAAAACACCATCCGCTCATATAGATTTAAATATTATATATTTGTCCGTAAACGCGATAACTTGAGTAATTTTTGTCCGATTTTGATGAAATTTGGCTTAAAGGTGTAGGGTGGGATAAACTTTAATGAGTTCACGAACCAGCATGAACGAACCTTGGAAACGGGGGTTCATGGGATAAAAAAAGGGTTTAGTAATTCTTTACCCTCAAAACACATAATTTTCCAATTTCTCTCTACACAACTTTAATGAGCATAAAACAAATGATTTAGTAGCCTATATTACAGTGTTTGTGTACAGTTATTAGTGGTACGTAGAAAATTAAAAAATTGTAAATTAAAAATTCCCATGATATTCTTATGGAAAATATTGTTAACTGTTGGAATTTGCTTGTCTATGGATATATTTTGATCAAACTTGGCCAATTTGTATTATACTAAGCTATTAATATTTTACTAAAAACACAATTTATTAGCCTCTCTGAAGCAGCAAACCTGGGTACTCGTTGAACCTAATGTTATTTAAATAGATATTTAAACAAAAAATGACAAAACATTGAAATAAAATGGCAGTCCGTAAGGCTAGCATCCCAACACAAATCACGTCATTTTCGGCCCGAAGTGGGACGCTAGCCTCTCGGACGCCAGCCTCCCGGACGCCAGCGTCCTAGTATAATCCTAGCCTTATTGGTGATTTTTTCCCGATATATAGTAGAACCTCTTAAATCCGAACCCCCCCATAATCCGAACGCCTCTTTGCGTACCTCACAGTACAGTAGTTCTTTATTGTATACTGTATTTACTGATACACGCACTGTAATTGTTTCTATTGTAATGTACAAAACTGTTTATTCACTATGTTTACTCTGTATTAAATAAACACTGTAAGCCTATTTTACTTGACAAGTTAAAGCATTTTTCTCTTTTCCCGTAACAATTGTACGATCCATTTTGCCACATTTTAGCTATTGTAATGTAAAAACAACAATATGCTCTGTAATCCGAACTATTCAATAAAACCGAACTACCCCCAGTCCCAATTAGTTCGGATTAAAGAGGTTCTACTGTAGGCCTATAGCTTTAACATTTTTGTTTTCCTTAACGATCCATAACTACTAACTCCATATACTCCATACCTATATACCGAGTTTCCTTCTGCTTTAATATCTTTAAACACATTTAAGTTACAAAAATAAAACTGATCTCGTTTAGGCAAAAATAATATAGGCTAGCCTTTATGGATTAAGAAATGAAACTGTTCTAAGCGAAGTTAACCTAATATAACATACATAACTAACCAAGCTTGCTCTACCATTTCAACATTATTTGATAACAGAAAAGACATGTGGGGAGTATAGGCCTAAAACGAAATTTTGAAATGTTACAGCAAGTTTGGTTGGTTAGGTTAGGTTAATTTGGAACAGTTTAATTTCAATGTAATATTTTTTGTTATTGTTTGTTGAGATTGAACAATATTTAGCCTAGTTATCATAGTTTTCAGCTGATATGTTTCAATTCGTTAAGTTAATAAGTTATAAATAAAAGTTATTGGATCAGAAAATAAAATATCTATATAGGCCTAAGTCATCGACAAAAAATCATCGATAATAATGAATGTTCCCTTTAACTCTTTCAGTGCTATGCAACGATATAAGTTAAGTTATCGTTATGCATATTTTTCCCATTTAATGCTATGGAACGATAACTTAAGCGCGTTTAATCCGAAAAGTGCAAAGCGACGATATATCAAGCCGACTTTCGATTGTTTGAGTTTCAAATCTCCAATATCAGTTGACTAGGTTATTCTTTAGAAACAGCAATGATTCCTTTCGATTCCTCACACGATCGAGGCACGATATAAGTTATCATTCCTTATTACTTTTGAGATGAAAAATTTTTATTTTTACAATTTTGTATAAACCATTTTTAAGTAGGTACCCGTATACCGGTATACAAATTTTTAACCCTAGCAGTGGCCAAAGAGCGTAATACGCTCATACGCCGTGACGCCTAGAATGGCCACCGCGTAATACGCTATTATTGACTAAAATTTTTTTAACGGTGAAAAAACCGCTTATAATAAACTCTGATGTGAACAATATAAGTTATATATATCATTCAAAATATCACATTCAGAACTTTCATTTTATCATACAAACAAACCCTGTAGCAGGTATATAACAATGTCACGACAATTAGAAATCTAATGAATTTTTGGTGCGGCACGACTTTTGCAGCTGACACTTGGGAACTGTCAAAACACAAATTGTTTGGCATTACCCTGCTCGGGTAATTTTCGTTTTGGGATGATGCGGATGTTACCACTGGATAGCCATTAATTTTATCTTCATTGTAATATTGATATTTAGTCTCCTAGGTCATTTTTCAATCTGATTGTTGGAAACAAAAGGTCATTTCATTGAGTTGAAGCAATGCCATGTGTATTTCTAAACCCTTAAGTTCCAACCTTTGAAGAATCTTAATATAAAGAGGGGCATCTCTGGTGAGTCGCCGGGGCCTCATAGATTCTAAATACATTACGACCCTGTTCTTAGTGTTTTTAGCGAATTTCCCTCATAAGTTAGGGAATAAGCTAACTTTATTTAACTTATATATCATATGGTAAAGTTAAATTTAATGTACCGTACCTAATGATAATAACTTATTGAAATCATAATCTATAAGCTCTGCTGCAATAGTGTCCCCACAACTTTTTCAACAATGGCAAAATAACAAAGATTTGTCTAAACTTAAGTGAGTTTAATTTGGAAAAGGCTGGCATACTTACTCAGTGATAATATTTAAATCATATTTCAGTAGAATTTGAAGAACAAGAACTAAGTTAGCTTAGGAAGGTAAAGTTACTAAATTTTTCCAAACTTACTTCAAGGCAAAAAGTAACTTACCGTAGCAAGGTGTTATCCTACACTCATCCCTAGGTGGAAAGTTTTATGATGTTCTAGGCTACTTATTATTTATTTTATTAGTTTTAATTTGACACAATCTTTTCCGACATTATCGGTCACCGTATAATTCAAGTAAGTAAGTATTCAAATAATACTAAATAATTTACTTAAGGGTGGAATTTGAAAACTATTCAACAAATAAATTAGATTCAGTTTTTTAAGTCCTAGGCACGGGCCTGGGATTGTTTTTCACATTAAGCTAGCCTACTTCAGGCTAGACCTAGGTGTTGCAGTAATATCACTTAGATAAAATCCATTGGTGATTTGGTGGGATTTTAACGCAGGACCTCAGGGACCGAAGTCTCACGCTCAAACCACTAGACAAGCTCGCTCCCCCCATTACATTGGGAATAAGTAAAGGGGTCATCATACTTAACCCTATATGAGCGATCAAAATTTGGCAGTTCTAGCAGAGATATCAGGGAACTTTGGCCTAACTTAGGTCCTAGCCTAGTTACTATGACACACAAATCCAAAAATATTTATGCTTATTTGAGCCTCATATGGTTTCGACCATGGACATCTCACTGTTTTATTAATCTTAAGATTGTTTTTCCAAATAATAACTAGGCCTAACATATAAACTATAGGCCTACATAGGCTAGTATGGCAAAGATATTCACAAATGTGTAGCTTAATCAATTCACTTCACAGACGACTTGGTAAAAGTTTGTGTTCATATTTAGGTGGTATTATCTGACTTACCATAGTGAAAAAGTTTTATTGGACCTACGGCGATTGAAAATAACAAAAATTATAAATAAGGTAGAACAAATAACATTGCACTACACAAGAACTAGATAAATTTTAAATCAATCAGGTAATAACACTGAAGTTATTTATTGAGAGGCTAACAACTCCATCCCAGTTTGTTACGTCACGCCACACTTCCACGGTAGATGTCTGATCTCAGCCTTATAAATAGTTATGACTTACACAAACAAAAGTTTGTGTACTATATAATATACAAAAACTGTCACAATATATAACAATTGACTATTAGAATTATAGTCAAAGATATTAACACTACTTTGCCCTCAAAAATGTTTATTTAGGAACTAAGATATATGTTTAACATTATAACACTTTTTTCTCCTCTAGCATGAAATTTTGGGCCACCGGAATTTTATCCCCCTGGAATTTTACCCCCTGGGCAAAGCTGACGTCACTATGACCATAGATAAAACATACTTATGACGTAGTAACCTGAGTGGCCAAAAGTTTGTTCGCGGCCGGAATTTTACCCTCGCGGATTTGGAAGTCTAATGAAAATAGTCAGAGCGTGATTTACATTAGCGATAAAAACCGGAATTTTAACCCCTGTCCTATATACAGTGTAACTAGCTTCACAGAAAACATTTGCCAGCGTTTAGACAACTGAAGATGTATTTTTATCCCCGGATTTTTACCCCCCGGAATTTTACCCACGGATTTTTACCCCCCGATATTTCACCCCCTGGCCGATTTTAGAAATTGAATGATTGATTTTCTTATTTCTGTTTTTAATTAGTTGTAAACATTTCATTATATAGTAGCATAGATAAAACATACTTAGTAGCCTATCTTAATTTATTTATTTTTTAATCTCGACTACTTAAGTTTAACTTTTTAATGCTATTGAACATCACAGAATCCAATTGCTTAGTTGAACCAGCTGTTAAGATTCTTTAATTCCATTTTAATATGAGTACTCATAAGGTTAACATGGGAAACTCCAGAGCCACTGGGGCGGAGCCCTTTTGACGGATCTGCACCAAACTTCACACAAACCATTCATGACATGAATAATGCTTAATAATGCCTGAAAGTTTCATTCCATAAAGGACAAACAAACAAACAAACATACATTGGAATTTACATATAAGTTATATAGATATTTATATTATAGATTATTATTATCGAGTGTGTTTTATCTATAGTAATAATCCTAAACAGATCATATCAGTTCATATCCTTCAACCATGGATCATATCAGTATATTTTACAATACTTACTCTTGAAATACACAACTAAATACTCAACTTGTAAACATATTTATATTTTAATTAAATTCTTAATTTTCATTCATGTTCATATTTTTAAAATTCGTATTAGGCCCATTTAAAACAATAATATTAATCTGAAGTAAATCAAATATTACAATTTTCTAGTACAAATAAGAGACATGTAGAATGGCACCGACGAGTCTACAAGTATCATATTCAAAGTACCGGGCAATGGACGCACAACCTGACGTCTACATTGAACTGCTGATCAAGTGGCAGCCAATCACAGCATTGAGCACCAAAGGGATGATGGACACTGTAGGCGGGGTTAATTAGAATCTGGAAAAATGAAGGGACATGAGTAGCAAGATGGCATGAGTCTGGAAGAAGATTTGCGAGGCTTAGGACGGGGTCGGATCAAGTAGGCCCCAATTAATATATCCAGGATTGGTAAAATCTGCCACCTGAATACGTCCTATAGGCCAAACGACTTCACCTACTCAACCAACACCGACAGAAGAGGTCCAGGGGGTCGTCATCCGTCTTCGAGTACCAGGATCAACCACCGAGTCATCCGACAACGGAGACAAGGCCGACAAGGGGAGGCCTGGACATCCACGACACGGGGGAATCGTCTACCCTCAAGATCTTCTCATTGGTATGTTCCTAAATTCAATTATTATTCCCAAGACAAAAAGTTAGAAGAAAGAAGAAAAATTTTAATAATATAAAAAGGACCTAAGTTAAATAACTACAATTCATTACAATTACACCTAAAGGGTTTTGGTTTATTAAAGGGTTGTAGATTAGAGTGAGTGGTCAAATAAAATTTAGTAACTCATTCATGGTGTCAGTTCAATCAGTTCCAGAGTATTCTCACAATTAGTATACTCACAATCTTAGTAGTCATTTTGTATTCTTCACATTTAAAGTAAACTCATAACCCCAATAGTTTACAAACTACAGTAAAGTAAAGTTGTGCGCTGTTGTCTAAAAAATGATGCAATATGATTACCACCCATAGAGCAATATACAGTATATAGATCTGTGGTACCACCACGTGAAGACGGACCATGGCAATTTAAGAATATTATTTATTATATTATGGTCTTTCGTTCAAATATATATATATATATATATATATATATATATATATATATATATATATATATATATATATAAACTCTAATTTTATTTATATAGATATACAAACTTCCTCTTTTATAAATATAGATTTAATAAAATTTTAAATAGCATAGTAAAATCTATATTTGGCTAGTGATAATTTTATTATATTTAATCCAATCAACATTATCTCTATGAAATTTCTATCTCTTCCTTCTAGAAGCTGGCAGCACTGATTCAAAAAGTCACGTTGCCGGCGTTCGTTGAACTTGAACCTCTGAAATGATCTTTGAATTTTGCAGAAGGGAAGGGCGAAGAAGAATGTAAATTCTGGTCTTATCCTTGTCAAAGTCGTTGTCGTCCTCGTCCTGCCTGAGTAGTATTATCATACACACTACAAAAACACACACACTACGTACGCACTAAGAAGACTACACAGTACAGTACAGACTAGACAGTCAAACAAGAAGTCACTGAATGCAGTGGGAGTGGAATCGGAAAGTTCAACGAACACTCTTGCATCATGTGTTGCACTGCGTTTGCGATATTGTTTTAGACATTTTTTTTGAAAATTAAAAACCTGACCGCGGGATTTTCAAATTGAATTCTGTAGTGGTGATTTATGTGTTACTAAATATTTGCTTAATTTTACCTTTATAAGATTATAGCAGGATCTGAACCATAAACTAATTAGAGGTTTGAATATGATCACAAAACTGAAACATTGTGGTAGACAGTTCTCAAAATTAGCTGTAAAATCTTTTGAAGACATCCCTTCACCGAAAAAGTGGCCAGTTTTGGGACATGCATATTTGTTTCTTCCCAGAGGTAATTAAACATATTAAATTAAAGAATTTTACAATGCTAGATAAAAAAATATGAAGGACTGTGTGTTGCAATGCATGAACTTCAATTTAATTTATCTAGCTCTACAAAATACTTTTTTAGCTGTAGCAAGTTTTAAATGAAAATGAATCAATGTTATTTCAATTTTCATTTTCATCTTTTCAACATTTACTAAAATACATTATTACGTTACTTAACAATATATTTAAAAAAAATGACAAACTTATTGCAAAATCACAACTTGCATTGATACCTTACTTTACTAGCTAGTAATTGCTTACACATGCTATAGCACATCTACCATAGCCATAATGTTCTACCACTGCACCTAAACCACAGATAAAAGTAAATTAAGTTCTCGTTGTGTACCACATCATTTTTTTGCGGTTCAAATTAGCTGTTGTCATACATAAAATGCAAAAATATAATAGTGTTGCACCCTATTGGTAAACCTCATGACTTTTTAATGCTATTTATTATCATAGTCAGCTGTTTCGACTAAAAAATTGGTTCTATGATATGCAAAAGCATTAAAAGTTATAAGATTTACCAACAGGGTGCAGCGCTATAATTTTTTCTGCTTTTCTGAACAGCTAATTTGAGCCACTGACAAATAATTTAACAAAGCAGCAACAAAAAACTGTGATATGCAATGAGAACTGTCATAGTTGGACTCTTTACAGTTATCTTTATGTTTTTTAATTTCATTAATAATTTGTGATATTTAGCAAATTTTTGATAATTTTTTCTCTTTTAGCGAATTTCCCATATAGGGAATAAGCTATTACCGTAGTACTCACGGTAAGACCTGGACCCGGGACCGATTTTTTTTTTCGTTTTGAGGTCCCTAGAGGTCAAAAACACCATCCGTTCAAATTCATATATATATTTATATATAATATATATATATGTGTCCGTTAGCGCAATAACTCGAGCAAAAATGATCCGATTTTGATGAAATTTGGTACAAACGTGTAAACCTACGTTTATTCGAACGAGTTCACGAACCAGCATGATCGGACCATGGGAACGGGGGTTTATGGGGGCTTTTATGGGGTAAAAATGGGTTTTTCCCATTTTTTACCCAAAAAACATAAAGTTTTGCAATTTCTTTCGAAACTATTTTGTAGAGCTTAAAAAAACAAATAATTTAGTATATTGAAGCGTTATAATGCGCCTAATGGTTACGGAGAAAATTCCAAAAAATTGTAAATTTAAAATTCCCATGTTATTCTTATGGAGAATAAGTAAACTGTTGTAGTTTGCTTGTTTTCTTGTTTATAAACATATTTTGCCCAAATTTGGAAAATGTTTTTATTTCTTACTAACTATTAACATCTTACATAAAAAACACTTTTACCCTCCCTGTTGCAGCAAACCTAAGTATGTTTTAAACTGATTCTATTTAAATAGGGAATAAATGTGATATTTTTAAGGAGACATTTTAGTTTAAATCCATTCAGGGAAATGGAAATTCGCTTAGTCTGCAGGTTTGCTGCGGCGGGGGTATTGTTTAGGTGAAGTGGTAGAACATTATGGCTATGGTAGATGTGTAATAAAGAATACCGTAAATTTAAAGAAGCAAATTTGATCAAAATGGGTCCTTTTCTATTGCAAACGCAAAGCTTGAGTATAACTGCAATAAGCATTTTATACTTATATGCCAACCCCGTATGAAGGACGGGTACTGTGATGGTATAATTATATATTTTAGGGGAAATCTAACCAGGTAAATGTAAATTGAATAGTCTGTAGGTTTGCTGCAGTGGGAGTATTTTTTGTATCTAGAAGAGAATCTTATAAATTTTAACTGAAAAATTGTTTAACGAGAACAATGATGATAAAAATCATAGCTTCCTCGAACAAGGCCGCTGCGAGACAAAAGTGGCAACGGCCACAGAAACGGCAAACTCTGTAACAGCTGTTGCACTAATTTAAAATGGTTCGAGCGTGTGCATAATGTTAATGTTTACAAGTTTGTTTTACCTGTTATTACCATGGCAATATGCAAGTCACATTGCTACACTCCCCAGTACTGTGGCCTTGTGTTATGAAGGCTATACTGAAATTCTCTGATCAAAATTGGAGTTGCTGTGTGAAACAAGTTAAGTTTTACTAACAAGTTACACCCACTCTTGCAGCATTTTTTAAGTCACCGCAGATATGACTTTATACTTACAGGACCATATAAAGTAGAGAAGATGACTGAGGCAATGGCAGATTTGAGCAGTAAACTGGGACCAGTTTTCAAACTTTACTTGAATGGAGAGCACATAGTCATAACGAAGGATGCAGACGACACCAAAGTCATGTACCAGCATGAAGGGACAAGACCTCATAGACCACCATTTCCTGCTCTTTACCACTTTCGGAAACATAAATTCAACAGTGTTGGGATTGTCCCTGGGTAATTTATTTTCTGGCTATGGACAATAATACAAATATATGCATACAATATTTGGCATAGATAGAATGGATTTATTCTCACACATTAAATGTGTGAAATATGTTATAGGTAGTTCACATTATTTTATTAGGATGTTCAGTACTGTTATATTCCTTATTAGGCCTTAAATAGGCTTTCTAAATAATGTTTTAGTACATAATGCTGATGTTTTTTTAAGAAAATGCAGTTTTTTTTTTAGTTTTTTTAGTTTACTACTCCTTCACTGTAATTTTTCATGGCAATTTATAATAAGCTGTTGGCAATTATTTTAAGGTATGTTTCTGACCGGGGCACATTGATTTCTATAGTGTGTATTGTGTATTGATTTAATTTTATTTCGTAGTTGCGTAAATTATTTTTAACAAATAATGAGTTCTGTTTATAATCCATTGCTTGAGTCCTCTGGTTTTAACTTACCAATGGTTTTTTTTGTGTCTAAGTAAAGGGGCAACATTTGGCTTTAAAGCCATGTAGTCTCTTGTGTTTTGTATTTTTAATTATCTTTATCATTGAGTTCTTCTGTGGTTGCCTTGATTGTTTATCTCTTGAAGATTCTCTTCACCATTTAAAGTGCATACTGTGAACTTTAAGAAATACATTTAGTCGATAATAACACTAAAACATAATTAATTGGAGACAAAATACTCTTCAAAAAATGATCAATATGGTATGAGAAGTCTACCTCCACTTGGTATCACTTGTCAAAAGTGATATTCTGAAATGACAATTATTAGTATTACAGCTAATAATTAGCAAGTGGATGACAGTTGTTGTACTAACACCAAATATAATTAGTCAGTGAGAGAAGATTCAAGCAAACTAAATAATATTACAGTTCTGTACTAAAAATGTTCTTGGACAGTCCCAAAAGACAAATATGGTCTGCCATTAGGTGTTTGGTTAGGTACTTACATTTTAATTCTTTCCAGAAATGGCAAAGAATGGTATCATTTTAGAAGAGCAATGAACATTCTACTCAATACAAGCATGTTACAAACCTACAAAGACAAGCAGCAGATGATTGCCAACAGATTCACTGATTATATAGACCGCCATAAAGATGAAAATGGAAAACTTTTTGATTTGTATGCACATCTAACAAAATTTTCAATTGAATGTAAGTAGCACTTGGAAAAAATAATCTTTTTGTCATACTGCAGCAAAAACAGCCGTTATTCATGCATACGTTGCGGGTCTAAAGTAACATTTTTACTCTCTAGGGAGTAAAAATCATTTTTAGTCTAGGGAATGTGACGTGTTTGTTGACCGCTCGACATATTGATGGTATAATGTGTAACACAATTCTAATAGACAAAATGATTGAATCACTTACTAAACAGCTGCTCAATTATTTGCATTAGCAGAATTGAAAACAAGCTGGAAGTCGTTTTGAGAGGTCATATTTAAATAAAAATATTTTGTTTTCTAGATTAGGCCTAGTTTGTTAATTAATGATGCAAGATGACAAAAAATATAGTTCACCACACGGGCAAAAAGTGTCTTATTAACCCCGCTCATTGTCCGACCTCGGCTTTGCCTCGATCGTTAAACTTGACCTCGGGTCAAAAAGAGTAACTTTATTTCCTTAACAGGTACAGGAGCTTTGCCCAATGTTAGCGTCTGGTTCATCACCTGGCTGCTTTTGACCAAACAGGGCTGTTCTCCTAGCCCCAAGTATGTAGCAATTTAGAATTACTTGCTTTGCAGTCTCATTGCTGGACTAGCTGCAAAATTGATACCCCGGGTATCATTGATGATTCCCAGAGTTTGAAGGTGTTTGCTGAAATAACTCCGTATCTGACCCTCATTAAACCTAGGGGTTGTGAACCTCTGGCCTTTGAACGTCCTTCTCCCGAGGGTGGAATGACTGTTGCAGCTCTAGGGCACACCCTCGTATCTACACCGGAACCCACAGTTGGACCTTGTGTTCCCTAGTCTTTGGGGCTTCTTTGATACGCGCCAGCTCTGGATGAGCAAACCCCTGAAGTGTTGGCAATGCAGCTTCTGGAGTTGCATCAGGTTTGGTTCTGGTAGGGTTTAGGTTTTCTAGAAAACAACATTCCCACAAGTGAACTGCTAAGTGAGGCTGAAGGTCGGGCTCAGGAAGAGTCCCGCATGGCCGGGTAAGTGCAGTAGATCATTGGGTAAAAGCGTTTCTCTATCTAACAGACAGCATAGCAGATTGAGGGGTTGAATCTCGTCTCAGTTGGCTTGGTGTGTAACTCATGGTTAGTTCACCTGTCTTTGGCTGAGCTTTGGTGGGGAAGGCTCACCTAAAAATAGTGGACGACTCAGGTAGAAGTTGTAGGAATGAGTGAATTTGAATTATTTATGAGGTAGCTGTATCTCAAATCAGACATTTTACTACACATTTTACCTAACTGTGTACATCCATTGAGAACTTTAAAAAAAATCTTCGATGTTAATGATAAGACTTTTTTTTAAGCAGACATAGGCTAATTAAAATTAAATAAGAATAACCTGTAAAATTTAATGGGCTGATATTAAATGATTGATGAATTATTATGTTATTATGATATGTTGGTTGTACTTTACAATATTGCTGCTGACTGATATAGCAGTAACATATCATTGACCAAAGATAATGTTTCAGCAATATCAGTAATATGTCCGGGAAGACTCTTCCCATGCCTGGACTCAGATCAGGGCCATGTCTCAGAGCTTGTCCAGGCCAATGTTGACTTCATGGATGGACTCTATCAAACACTGATTGAACCTCCTATTTGGAGAATCTACAAGACGAAAGGATACAGAAAGCTGGAAAATGCTCACATGACAATGTACAGGTGAACTTTTGAATTATTGTGTTCATTTGATCAAATCAAATCGTTTGAGTACACTAACTAACTAATGGTAATACTTGTTAGTTAACAACAAATTTATAATATAAATTACATATCTCCAACTAACTATTTAGAACTATATACCTAACTAGTAACTTATATCTCCTTAACCAAACTAAACAGAAATTACATTTTACAAAATTTGCCGATATCAACATGATTCATACTCTTGGCAGGAGCTTCAATTTGTCTTTATGTTGTTTTCGGCTACTATGACTAGTGACAAGATTAATTATCTCATTAAAGGTGGGGAACGGCTAGAAATTGTTGTGGATGAAGAAAAAGATCATGGTGCTGAAATATTATTTTGAACTAGCCCGCATAGGCGTGGAAGGAGCTCGATGGAGACCCTAGTTTACCAATATATACTTCGTAATTTTATCTTAAGCCGGGTTTACCTAGGCGCGGAACGCAGAGAGCAGTATCCACTTGTCTTAGGCAATTTGATGTTAATGTACACCATGTTAATCCCTTTTCCGCTCTCCGCGCCTAGGAAAACCCAGCTTTAGTCATCTTTTGCAGCAGTTCTTGAAGGAACAAAGAATAAATTTAAAATTTGTTATATTTTTCTCAGGTTGCTAAAAGAGAGAATCAGTCAAGTGTTTGACGAATATCAGAAGGGAAGTTTCCAAGATCAACCTGTGATGGAGGCGCTCTTCAGCAACAAGTCTCTGACTTGGGATGACATTGTAATGCTAGTGATGGAAATATTTACTGGAGCAATCGATGCGGTGAGTTTTAGCCAAACTTAAATATTTAAATTCCACCCTTTTTTTTATAATAGTTGTTCATTTGATGATAGCCTATATGAACTTTAAAAAAACATTTCTTATTTTTACCTGTGACAAAGTGAATCAAACCTTTATTGTTGCTTTCAGTTGCCTTGACCTTCTGCCGGTTACATCATCATTAGTGTGTGTAGATGTTTTTCTTGTCGTCTTTGTGATGTTTTTTTATTTACTACATGCCTCAATTTTGAGGGACCGACCACACAATCTGACCGTTTTGAACCTAGAAGATCAACACAAGATTTCAACACTGTAAACACTCCTTTAAATATCAATTAAGTTTAGTGTACTGGTGAAATAAGCCTTGTTGCATTTGCTTCTGGTATTACGTGGTACACCAAACCTGAAACACATGGAATAAGCACTCATTCTTATCAAAATATGCACCTGATCATCAATTATTGCTGTTACCTTTATTCTTGTGTACATTTGAAATAATATTGGTACTTGTGCTTTCTTCTACTATTATGTTATAAAATATGTTATTGTTACAGACTTCAACCACATTAGCCATGACATTGCATTACCTCTCAAAAGACCCAAAACTTCAAGAGCTGGTCCGGAACGATAGTTCTCTTAAGTTGACACGAGCGTGTTTGAAAGAAACCCTCCGAATGTCACCCACTGCGGGCGCCAACAGTAGATACCTGGCCAAGGACGCTGTTATTGGGGGTTATTCTGTTCCAGCGGGAGTGAGTAAAAATCGATCTTATTAAACCTAATTAACTCCTGATTTACAATGTTTTTATTAACAAAATATTTATGTTGAAATTACGAGCTATTTTTTGTCTACAAAAATAACACGAAGTGCAGGTGCCTAAAGCCCTTAGCACAAGACATTTTGAGTACAGACAGTGTGGTAAAAGGGAGTATCTCACTCAACCATCTAACTGTGTAAGCTGGTACCAAAAATTCAAAATGGCAGATCCAAGAGTTCTTTGACCGGCCCCCATTTTAAACTCCGTTGTCCGGTTGAATTCAAATTTGTGGCATCGTATTCTACTAGTAAAGGCCTTTGATTTGATGTAACTATCAACCTATGCTTACTTTTAAGATTTTCTTCTGACTCCTTGCGGGTCATCTCCCTCCTCCCTGAAGAGGTTGCACATCACTGAATAATGTGTTGAAATAATACTAATGCTCAGTAACTGTACCAAATTTTAAAGCTCTAGCTTTATTACTTATTCAACTGGGCCTGGACCTTTTTCCACCCTGTGTATACGTTTGCATTGAAACTTTTTCAAAGATACTTCCAAGTAAATCTTTTGTTAAAGCTTCACTCCTAACTCTTTTTGATAACTCTCTCAGCCAAAAAGGTGTTATCTTAGTCATGAATTCGATATAAATTTGAGGATTTTTGAATTAGAAAGAATCCATCTAGGAACAAAAATTTTACACTGTACGCAACAATTAATTAGATTCCACTCTAATTACAGCATTTACAACTAAAAGGAAGATATTTTCCACAACTTTCTCCTTGGTAGAAAATACTGTAAAGGGCAGTGAACTATTCAATTTTGTGTGTTTATTTTGTTAGTGTACTCTTTCCATTCAGATAAACCTGCTGTCCTAACAAAAAACTTAAAACCTAAGCCCTTGGGCTCTATGTCAGGGAATGTTATGTTGTTTGAGTTAAAAGAGTGTTGATTTTCCAGACACTAGTATCAGCTTTTAACTCTGTGTCTGGTCTTGACCCGGAATATTTTGAATCCCCATCATCATACCAACCCGAGAGATGGCTGAAAATTGCAAATCAAAGTGATAAAAAGATTCACCCGTTTGCATCTCTACCATTTGGCCATGGACCAAGAACCTGCCCCGGCAGAAGCATAGCAATGACAGAGATGACCATACTTCTCTCAACTGTAAGTAGTACAAAAACATATACATGTATTGGATAGGTCTAAAATATTCCCAAATTATTCGTTTTGAGCCTCAGGGATTTAAAATTTACCCTATCTATTTTAATTATTTACTTTGGATATTTTATGAACAAAAATGATCAAAATAATAATATTAAACTAGTTTTTAGTGGACACACACATTAAGCATAATCAAACAGGAGCAAAATGCACATTGAATGGACTCGTTACATTATTTAAGGCGCAACTCATAGAATAAATAAATATGACAAAAATCAAAATCAACAAATAAGACATTCACATTTTATGAATGGCTGCCAAATAAGCTATGATGATTCCAATACACTATTAGATTCAATACATATTGGATTACAGAAGCACATCATGTGAGTTTTGGAAGTAATCCAACTTTTAAATTAATAATTTTGATTATTTGTTCAACCTCCTACACACGTTTTTAGACAGAAGATTTTAAATTATTTACTTTGTATTCAAATGTAGTGTTTATAAAACACTATTGTTTTTGTAGGTGCTGAAAAAATACAATCTACAAAGTTGCAATGATGATGCAATTGGTATGATCTACAGAATGAACAGAATACCAGACAAACCAGTGACTGTCAGTTTCTCTCCAGTAAACTGATTATCACACAAATTCTTGTTTTATTCCTTTCGACCAAGTGTTTTGTGTAATTTATTCAGGGTGCAACAATGCTTGATTGGTCTGTGCTCTGGCTAAAACATTACTAGAACTGTTGGTGGAATACAGGAAGTGAATTAAAAATTCATTAAATTCATCAAAACTTTACTGATTTTTACATCAGGGTTAGGGATAACAGTCTTGTACAAAACTGGAAATAACCTTTACGTATTAAAAAGCATTTCATAACACAACAAAAACTAGCTTCAAGAAAGTAACAGAATTTAAGTAGGTAATTTGTAAAATGTGCAATAAATTACACTTTGTACACATTAATTAATTTAAACGTCTATTTTTATCATAAAAAATCAACTATAAAGTTACTTAATCTTTAAAAGAATTGTTTTAAAAAATCGTTTCTAACTTTGGAACTAAGCCCTGAGAAGTTGGGGAGTTTCAGGCAATTTTGAGATGTACTTAAACATGTATGTCAAAATTTAAAAAAAATATATACTACATGCTTCAAAGCAAGTTATAAAAAAAGGGTTGATGTTAAATCTTCTTTTAATTGAAAGAAACAAATGTGAAATAACTTCCAACTTAACGGTATTAAGAATGTTTAAATGCTAGTTGGGGGTTGTAGTCAAACAGAGCACAATTTATAAAAATACTTAAACCTAATAATAAATTTAAATCATGTTTCTTACTATTTAACTGAGCTCTAAAGCAACTAAATCAAGTTGCATACTAAATGAGATCAATAAAGTAATGTATAAAACATAGCACAAACAACATTAGTAAAGAATATTACTCATGTCCGGGAGGAGGTAGGTATTATGTGGATCTTACGGTTAAAGAAATTATTTCTGAGCATCAATTTAGCTACAATAAACATAGAAAATTTAACAAATGACATTAAATGTCATTAATTATGTAAAAAATGCAAGTTGTTCGACAGCAGACTGATATGTTGAAATGAATGAAACATTTTTGATACGATAAACAGTCAATTAAATCAGAATAAACTAATATAAAAATAAATATTAATTCATTAACATAATATAAATCTGGATAAAATGTTTGTAATAAGTCATATTGCACTGGTATTAGGTACTTTAAGGTATTGTTCAAAAAGTATTTTATTCAAGTTTTACTTCGATAACGGATGCATAAAACTAAACATATTTTACAATATTCCAGAATGAGTTGAGTATGCACGCAAAGTACAGAGAATTATACTTTTTATTTTAGTGATACAGACAATACTTTTGATATTTTGGTGATGGTGAGATTTGAAAATCCATGAAGATTAATTACTTGAGGGTAAGGGTCAAACTATTTTGAAATGAGCTAAAAATGTACTGATTAAATAAAACCAAATTGTATACACAATCTTGCGGCAAAGATTGTTATATTTTATGGTTAGTAAAATTTTCTAAGAACAATTTTTTTTTGTATTGGAGATATTGGCAAATTAATGTAATGTAATACTAAATTTGAACTTTTAAATTTAGTATTACTTTACATAAGAAAAATGTGTTGAACATAATAAAATTATGTAACTTTGATGGTTTAATACCAATTAGAAAATATTTTAGCAATGTTTTTAAGAGATTTTGTTTTAACTTAACCCGGGAAAATAATTTTGTTTGGTTATATCCAACGCCTAATTTAGCTTAAAAAAAGAAAAGAATTATATTCTTGTCTGTTTACTGGCAAGCCCTAGAGGATTACACAACATTCACACACACACTCACATATCAGCCTACCAGTGAGGTTAAGCTGTTGGTGCGCCTATTGTTTTTACAAATATAGCGCACAGTTGTTCTGTGCAACCTCAAAGAGAATCAAACATTAAGTTATTGCTAAAAAAGTGATCCAGATGCCTGAATAGCTAATTGATAACTGTCACAGAAAATAGTGTTTGACTATGGAACACATAGGAATGACATAAAACTTAATCTACTCAGTAAAAAACCATATAGTATAACAAAAGACTAAGGTGTTGTTTAAGGAAGATCATTGAGTGTGTATGTGAGGGTTGTTAAAAGGCTTGCCAGTAAACAAAAAGTGTATGCAATATTAAATTAATGTGTTAAGCATATTGGTTATAAAAAAAAATAAATAAAAAAAATAATGATGCTTCTCTAACATTCTCCTTAGTGGGAATAATTATGGGTAAATATTGTTTTTTTTAGGAATAATTTGATTAATTCTTACATATTTCATTACTTTATGGAAGGCTGTTACTATTTAACAAAAACAAGAATCTTTGTATCCCTGGTAGCAGCAAACTTGGATACTCACTGTACAGCAAAAATAAATAACATTAGTTTCAGTGAGGTAATAATGTTATTATAATGTTGATATATAAATAACAATTTGTTCAGTTTATATTTGAACAATGTAATTAAGAAATGAAGTTTATGACATAGATAACTGATTGAACTTACAGCATTTCAATGTTTACTAGTTACTGTGGTTTTCCTTTTTCTTATTATTGAAATAGAGCATTTTAAACAACTTTTATTTGAGGATATAATGTAACATTTTTTATAACTAATTAATATTTTTAAGAGGTTTCCAAAGATGCAACAATACAAAATTAATGAGCGATACAGATTTAAATGACGAATCCAACAATAAAACTTGTTGAAGTTTGTTGTCGGTCTACCAGTGACAGAGAAAACATACAAAATTAACAATAAACAAATAATATTTCATAAAACTGGATATTAACTTTTCAGTTAATAACAAAAATAGAATGCACAACTACAAACAAAATCTCTATCGCTTAACTACTTACTATATAAAACAACTGTACATCTTATTTAAATCGAGTTTACACAAATATGAAAATTTTCATGTACAAACAAAAAATTAAGTATACTCATTTAGGATGTACAAAACATTAAACAGTTTTTCATCGACTATATACACATCGGTAGTTGGTCCAGTAATCAGTGTCTTTGGTAAAGTGAATATGTGAATGTATGGACTAATACAATCATTGGATCATAGGCTGTTTCGAGTATTGAATGATGAGATGAATGCGTACGATAAGTACATAAATCCTAAATGCAGCAAACTATTAATATGTACAGAATTCTAACAATTATAGAGAGCATTATTATTTACATTTGTTACAAACAGCTGCTTAGGATCATCACTAAATCGTTAACTTTTAATATTAAAGCTATGTATTTGTAAATACATATACACACGGATTTGTTAACTTTATATTCTAAACCCTGAAGTTGATGTGCTTTTGTTAAGTTTGTTTGTTTGTTTTATAGCTCATCAAAATACAAAATATGAAACAAACTGGGCCAATGAAAAAATCAATTTTTAAGGCCCGGCTATTTTATTAAATTGTAAGAAAGAATGAGAAGAAAACGTTGAAGTTGATTTCATGCAATAAATTGGTTCAAGTGAACAAAATTACTACTTAGCCTTCAATTGTTCATACAAAATCTATTACCTTAAAAACGTATTGCAATTTTTTCTGTCACACAAACTTTGATCGTATGGGATACAATTTAAGTTATATCATTAACTGACCTTACAAAACCCAGACATTTCAGATATGTATTACTTATATTACCTTAGCTTTCAACAAATAATTATTTATTAAAATGGAAATACATTAATTGTACACTTTTATGAGAAAGACATGTGCTAACCAGAAGGATTTTATGCAGTAAAACCTGATTTCTGATAACTTTAATTTCCAATAGAAGATTCTTAATGATTGGACAAAATATGTAACCACAATGTGTGATTTGAGACTTTTGGAAAATGTTTGAATTTTATGAGTAGTATTAAAAGCAATTTGGAAGGTAAGTCAAAAGACAAATGTAACATTGCGCTTTCAACTAGGTACAAAAGAAAAATATATGGTAGGAAGACTAGTCATTTCTTTTTACACAGATACATTTTTCAAGATACATTTTGTTATAATTAACATACGTACATTTTGTATGAAATAATTGAATTAAATAATTGTATTTCATAATATAAGTTTAACACAACACCATTTGTGTGCAACAAGTCTTTTTTTTAATTTAGAAAGCATGTAACTTTCACATGGGTAGAGCTGAAACACTTTTTGTGTATAGCTCGTGACACGTAAGCTGGCACTTGGGCCTAGCACAGGCAGTGTAGCAGGGGTGGGTGGTGGTGAGGAAAAGACCGGACTGCAAACATTTCCGCTGACTCAACAAGTTGACTCCTCGTGTTTCATGTACTTGAGCACCTTCACGAGGGTTGTGAGGACAATTTACGCAACCCTCACGATGGCACATAATGTTTTTGAGCAAGAGGCTAGTAGGGATCGGTCAAGTGCCAGCTTACAAGCCAAGAGCTAAACAAAAAAATCTTTTTTGAGAATTTTAAAGCGTGTAATGAGGTTTTACTGCTTTCAGTGGTAAAGAATGTTTTTAAGAAGTTAAGACTAATATTCATAACTCTAAAGCCAATAAAATAGGTCACAACTTATTGTGAAATACCTTCATAACCAAGAGGATCTGTTCATGGGGTCGTGCATCCCAAGGTACCCTCCTGGAGGGGGGTATCCAGTGGGGGGGAGTAGACCCTGGTGCAGGACCATCGGCCTCAGTAACTCCTCCTTCTGCAGCATCTGTGGATAGTTCATAAAGGGATGCGGGTAGGACAGAGGCCGAGACGGAGCATGACTCAGGTAGGGGAAGGGTGAAGCAGGTGGATGTGGACTAGGGGATGAACTTTTAGTGTTTGCACTCATGTCCGGATGAGGTGCGAAGAAATTACTGGACCGCATTTCTTCCAGGTACGAAGTGTAACTGTCTTTGAGTGGCGCTGGGCCAAAATTAAAGGCACTTCCTGGTACAACACTAGATGTTTTTAAAGATATTGCTTCGGACGAGGACTGTCCCAAATACTGCTGAAATCCTGCCGGGATACCAGAGGGCGTGGAGGTGTCGCTGCTCTTTCTCTTCTTGCTCGGTTTCTTCACAGCGGGTTTGGCTGCTGGCTCTGACGGCTTAGGTGTAGTGCTGGCCCTGGACACCTGTTGATAGGCGACTTCCAGAGGCCTGTTGTACCCAGCAGTCATCAGATCCACTGGTCTGCCAGGGTACGTCCCTGAGGTAGCTTTGGCTTGGATGAGATCCGACATCGGGTGGTTGTAGCTGACACTGTGAGGGTAGCCAAACCTTGCGAGATCGGACATCGGATGACTGTAATTCACCTTGCCTGCGAGCAAGTCTTGTTGAGAAGGGTAGCTCAGCGGTGAAGGCGGAACACTAAGTTTCCCACTGACTAGGTCCGGAGAGTGATTGTAGCTCAAACCGGACGCGGATAAGTCTGAAACTGCCCTACTGTAAGGTGAACTCACTTTAGGTGGTAAAGATTCTCGACTTGTAGGATAAGTAATGTGGGAACTTTCTTTGTTTTTAATCGGCTCATTTTGAGATACCTTGGCAAAATCCAAGGGGCTTTCGGTTAGTTTGTTTGAATCTTGTGATCTACTGACATAACTGAGGTTCGGTGGTGTATTTGTTTTGGCAGCAGTAGGATGACTGGAATAATTCAAAGGTGAAGATGACCTAGGTGCATTACAAGACAAATCTGTACTTCGCCCCGAATAATTTATCACAGGAGTTGAGGTCTTTGAGACTGGTAAAGAGTTAGAATACGATGACTGACTATCACTGACTTTGATAGGTCTAGTTTCAGAAAAATTAGGAGGAATTCGAGAATAGCCTCTATCATCTCTAGGATAACTAACATTACTCATTACACTGCTTGAAGTTGGATACATGGGATGTATCGATGTTGTTGAGGGAGGGTTCTTCCCATAAAGGCCATCATTACTGTAGTATGAAGCGGAAAGTAACCTTTCTTCTGCATAAGGGTCCATGAGATGAGGTGATATTCCATGCAAACCTAGAGCTAAAGCAGTTTCTGATGCATAGGCCGGTCTTGTATTAGGTTGAGTGGGTATTCGACCAGGCGTGGGAGTGAAACTCCTGTCGTTCTCAATAGCATTTCTAGTGGGTGTGAAAGACCCACCTCTATAAGATATCTCAGGACTAGAGCGAGCACTTTGTTCTACCTCGTTTATTATCCTCTTTTTAACAGGATACGTTGATGATACAGACTTTTCAGTTGCAATCGGTGTTGACCTGTACTGATCCGTCAAAGGTTTATTAGTGTCGTAATATGACATGTGAGCTGGATAAGGTGACATAGGTGCATCATAAGTGTTGACTGAAGGTGACTGGTAGGGCAGGGAGCTGCCACTGTATAAGGGATAGTCTGACTTGGGACTTGCCATTGGTGTTCTTGGGCTACAGCTCGGGATATCCCTGGGTGAACAGCTGGGTGGCTCTCTGGGACTGCAATTGGGTGTGGGAGGTTCTCGGGGACTACTGCTTTTATCGGAGCTTCCCCGGGGAAATGATGTGTCTTGATAAAAACCAACTCTTATGGTTCCATTAAGGGGGGAGTGATGGTAAGGTGTTTTGTTCGGGTCTGCTTGCGGAGATAGGTAATGCTCGTCTAAGCTCGGCCGTGGCGAAGATCCATCAATCATTGGGTCTGTAGGGTCTTGACTGAAAGATGACCTCTCTGAGACACTGCTTCCTGTACTAGCCTTTCTTTGTCTTCTAGCAGGTGACACCAGAGGCGGAGCTACAGTAATTTTCTTATCTTTATCGTCATCCACAGATATAACCTCTTCAGTGTCTTTAGGAGTAGCCTTGAACTGATCCAGCTTTTCTTTACTTTCATCGTTAATATCAGACTTCTTTTTGGTAGGTGGTTGTGATTTTGGCAGCCCAAACGCTTTAAACCATGCACTCAGATTTGGTGTGGAGGATTTCTCAGCCTTGGTTGAAGTTGGCACAGGAGCTGTTTTCTTTTCAAAGCTGTTGGAAGTAGGAGAAGCATCTTCTTTCAACTTTTTGGTTGACAACCCATCTTCAGGAAGGTTTTCTTCCGCTTCTGGAGAGTTTTTATCATCCTCTTCAAGAACTAAAGGTTTTTCATCCCCAGAATCGTCTTGAGAATCCTCATCCTTTTTCATAACCTCAGTATCGGAATTTTCAAAACTGTGTTTTCCAAATCCGATAACATCACTATTTAAAACTGTCCCTAAACTCAACTTAGGTGTTATCTGTTCTTCCTTTTCTAGAGTTTCAACATTTTGATCCTTTACCTTCATACCCGTTTGGTTTCCAGAGATGGAAGTTTCTTCATTCTTACTTGCACTGGGATTAGACAACAAATTGCCTTTGCTTTTCCCCGGTTGAAGTCTGTCTATTGTCCTTTGTACTTCTCGTCTTCTTTTCAAGGAACCGTGATCCTTGAAAAATCTTCTTCTCGTAAAGTCCTAAAAAAATATTGTAGTAAATACACAGTCAGCAGGAAAGTTTTAGGTGTTTCATTAGAAAGGAGATAACTTAATACTAACAAGTAGGATGTAACAGACAACACTTTGTTACATGATGAATTAGAGCATCCTCCCAACCTTATGATTACACACAGTTAACAAATTTTGTGTTAGCAGGAAGAATGTCTAATCATACTTACTAAATTATTACGAGTGGATCATTAAATGCAATTGGTTTAGTGTAAAAAAAATACTAAGCTCTCTCTTAGCAACCATAACCGATTATAAAAGCTCAAATACTCAGCTTAACCACTTTTGAAATAACTCGAATAAATTCTCATGGTACGAAACATTAATAGTCAGGACCAGGGTCTAAGCTTTAAGTGTCTAAACAAAAGGGAAACTGCCGTAAAATTAACCAAATGGATAGTGTTTTGTCACTTAAAAATGACTAACTCAATCAGTATATAACCCTCTACAAATCATAACGTAAATTACCAGTTTCTCTTTTGCTCGTATCTTAAGCCTGGCCCGGTAGTCGTGCTCTATGCGGCTGCCGACCCCATCACAATCATCCACCATTGGCAGTTGAGAGGGTGAGTTACTGGCAGATGAGAACTCTGAGAATCTGGGAGTGTCATCCAGCCACTTGTTGATGTCCTGCGAAAACGGTTATAAAGTTAAAAAATTAGTCTAACTTCATTGATTTAAATCTTAAATCTATTCTTTACCAAGCTATCTGTACCGAGTGCACAGCAGTTGATATTTATTGTACTAATCCCCAACAAGGACAATAGAAATGTATCTAATCTACAATATCATGGTACAACACTAGTTGTAGTGCTCTGTTACTGCTCTGAAGATCAGCTCATGTTATCTGCAATATGACACAGTTTTGTCCCTAACAGGACAGATTTGATCCACAACAAATCCACAGTAATTTTTATTTGTTTGGACCACTCTCTTTTAAAGGTGTTTGAATTTCATAATTTGAAAATGCTACTGGTGTAAACCCTCACAAAAAACCCACCCACCGTAAAAATTAAAGGTGTACCTTTAACGTTTGTTCGGTGGCCAACTCAAGTGCCTCGATGTCTGTAACGTTCTTGATCCCCGTTGGTTTCTTCCCAGGTCTCTTGGTCTCCTGCGTCTTCTTAGTCGCCTTGCTTCGACTCTGGCTACGACTGCTCTGACTCTCTGAGTCTTTTTGACTTGCTTCCTCCTCTTCTTCTTCTGCCTCCACCTCTGACTCCTCTTTGACCGGAACCTCCTCTGGCAGTTCGTTATCACTCTCTTCACTCCTGAAGAATAAAACAAGTATTAGTAATTTTTTCAATACCATGTTGTAAACACATTTTTCTTCCTCCACACATTCGCTGCTGTGTAATAGCCAGCAGCGACTTGGAGCAAAAACAGCCAATAGGCTGTAGACTGAGTACAATAAATAGTTTTCAATTCTGTTTCATCCAAAAGAGCCACAGCAAGCACATATTGCACGTCATGTTTTCTGGACAGTTTTAAAAGAAGTATAATGCCTTTATTTCAACAGGCAATCATAAATAAACTGGATCAGATAAGATCAAAGTTTTTTGCAAATCACAGCCGAAGCATGAAAATGCCTCTAGGCTCTATCTCGGAGAATCATCATTTCCAGTGGAACCATTTTTTGTTCATTTCAAATCCCAAAAAATTAACAAGACTAAAAACCAACAATTTTAATTTTTATAATTTGCTTAAAACACAAATCAACTGCATCTACCCTAAGATGTAATTGTTTTAGCGAATTTCCCTATAGGGAAGTAGCTATTACCGTCGGTGGCACGGTAAGACCTAGACCCGGGACCGATTTACTTTTTCATTTTGATGTCCCCAGAGGCCAAAAACACCATTCATTCAAATTTTTATATATGTATATATATATATATAGACATATATATATATATATATATATATACGTCCGTGAACGCGATAACTTGAGTAATTTTTGTCCGATTT